GAAAACATCCCCCCCCCCCCCCGGGGAGATGGCCATGCTGCAATCCCTTCTCCTCCATTCTCCTCTTGGGATCCTGGGCACGCGTGCACAAGCACCCGGCGTGAGTTTAAGCCACCGGGTCCAGGACTCAAACATGGTTGACTACATGGGAGTCCAGCAACATAGCCATTATGCTTACTGCTGGTTCCCTATATACTTATTTCTTGAGAGAGAGAAGAGAGGTGTTTCTAACAAGGTCTTCACACCCCCCACTTCAGCCTGCACGATAAGTGTGTCCACATGTGCAACCAGCGTGTATAGGAGACCTTCCAGTGTGGCCTCAGCATGGCGGAGCAGGGCTGCATGGCAGCTGACCAGACTGGGATGCTAACCCTGACTTGTCTGATGTCTCCCTCACACATACCCAGCAGCGGGGGTTCTCAAGAGAGTGAAGGGAGTGTCGCGGTAGGGGAGGGCAAAAGGAGGATCTTGGCCTTGACCCTTGTTTGGCAGGGTCTGAAGGCATTTTGCAGAGGTGCCTGCTGCTGGTATTGAGTGGCTAGAGCCCAGGGATGCTGCTACATGTCCGACAGCAGACTCCCACAGCGTGACTAGGCACCTGTGGGGCTGAGGCTGCAAGCCTGCCCTGCGCCTGCCCACAGTCCTCCTTCACAGAGCACAGCTCTGGTGTTCCCATCCGTAGGCGTAAATACTCCTCGCTCTCCCGTTCGTGCCCACTGCACTGCAGCCCCTTCGGCGGGGCAGGAAGATGTCTGACTGGCTCACGTCAAGCCAGCACAGTGCTTAGAACTTAGACGCTCGACCTGAGTGAACGAGTGAATGAACGAATCACGAGCGACACCCAGATGTCCAGTTCTTAACCTTTCTCCCGAAAGCGCAGGCCCCCTGCCCACCCTCCCCTCTCCCACCGCTTTAACCATGCAGTGGCCTGGGCCTGGTGCCCAGAGCTTAGGCTTTGCCAGCTGCCTTTGTTCTGGGCTGCACGCTGTCTGTGCCCCGGGCCTGACCCGGAGGCAGCCTCTGCTAAGGGGACCCTCGAGAGGGGGTGTCCTTCTCACCCACCGAGCAGTGCCATCTCTCTGTCTCTCCTAGGTCTACCCTGAGGAAACTGAAGCCCGAGAGCATGTATGAGACCTGGGTGAGTGCAGACTGCCAAGGCCCCTGATGTACGGGGCAAGGGTGCGGAGTGCAGGCCCAGAGCCTCGAACCTGGGAATGTCCCCCGTCAGCCATCACTCATGCCCACCTGTAGCAAACAGGGCACCAGCAAAGGCTGAAAGCTTTCTGTTCTGAAGGACACGTCAGGAGCTGGGAGACAGACGTAAGTGGGTGAGGATGACAAGGAGGAGACCCGAGTCCTGGGATGAAGGGATCCCCAGAGGAGGAGTGGGGGCCTTGGAGCGGAAAGGGACACTGTCGTTTGGAAAAGGGTCACCATCACAAGAATGGACCCATCCACAAGCTGCATTTTCACCAAGTTCAAGGCACATCTAGGGTCCACTCTGGGCTTTTTCTCACTCACTTCAGGGAGTATAGCGAGGTCTCCGTCCCACAACCCTGCTCTCCCTCTCACCCCTGAACAGGAGGACGACATGGATGGAATCCACATAGTGGCCTTTGCAGAAGAAGCTGATCCCGGTGAGAGGACTGCACATGGGACCGGGGAGGCAGGGAGGCACCCATTGCTGGAACGCAGGCCTCACCTGGAAGGCTGTCCTGAGGGTCCTCAGGTGGCCTGGAGCTAGACCTTAGAAGGATGGGAGGCGGGAGACAGAGCTGGGCTCCTACCTCCTCTGCATTCCTTTTCCTGTTCAGCCCCCTCACACGCTCCCTTGTGTCCCTCCAAGATGGCTACGAGTTCCTAGAGACTCTCAAGTCTGTGGCCCAAGATAACACTGACAACCCTGACCTTAGCATCATCTGGATCGACCCGGATGACTTCCCCCTGGTAAGAGGCGCCTTGGACTGTGGACTGTCCCAGCAGGGTCTTTGCTCTCGAGTTCCCGTCCCCATCCCCTGGCGGTAGACATGCTCAAGGGTGCTGTGGGTGTGGAGGACATCTTGAACAAGGGAGGCCGGGGGGACTGCAGGATTCCCAGAGCAGAGGCTGGCCTCCTGAGATACCTGGGGAGGGCAGTGTAAGAGCCATGTTCGTGGCATGCACACACAGACTCCACCGCACGTCTCAGGGACTGTGTAGTTCCCAGTGGGAGCCCCAGCTGCCCACACTCACTGTCATGTGAGCAACGGAACGAACGAATGCTGATGGAGAAGTACCAGCTATTTCCAGAGACCTAGCAACAGGGGCCAGAGAGAAGTGATGTGTCCACCATCACAAGGTTAATCGGTAGCAGATCCAGAATCAGAGCAGGGGTTTCTGTCCAGTTCTCAGAGAGCACGAGCCTGTGCCCAGGTGACCCTCCTGTGCTTTCCCTTTGGATTCCTGCCTTCGCTGCCTAGCTCTGCCTCCATCTTCAGGCCCTTCAGCTGGCTCCTGTCCCCCCAGTGCCCATTCATGCAACCCTTCCTCGTCGCTGGCCTGTCATGCTCACCTTGCTGGACTCACGAGCTCCTGGGCTCCATTAGGTTGATGGTTGGGTCTCTCTACAGCTGGTTCCATACTGGGAGAAGACGTTTGATATCGACCTGTCAGCCCCACAGATAGGAGTGGTCAATGTTACCGATGTGAGTATCCCTCGCTCATCCCTGGTGATGCCAACTCTGCCGCCCAGCGCAGCTGGCTCTCCTCCCCTCTGCTCCCTAGAACGGAGCCCTTGCCCAGGAGGAGCCATGCCAATCCAATGGCCGGTGGGTGGAGGGAGAGATGCACGGTCTGACAATGCCTGTCCTCCTCTGTGGGGATTGGCTGTCCATCCTTCAAGGTCCAGTTCAGATTCTTTCTCCTTCTTAACGTCATTCCAGCCCCCCATTTGAAATCACTCCCCTCACATCACTGCCAGAGCTCATTTAGCAGTGAGAATGTGACTTTTATAGGGTGTTTTATGGGTCACGTCTGTCTTTTCCAGTAGCCTTTGAGCTGCTTTGAGGGCAGAAATCTCATGCACACCGAAGCAGGTGCTTCAAAAATGTTTGTTGGGTTGGGAACCAGCAGTTAGCGTAATGGCTATGTCGCTGGACTCCCACGTAGTCGACCACGGTTCACGTCCCGGACCTGGTGGCTGAAAACTCACGCCGGGCGCGTGTGCGTGCGTGCCCAAGATCCCCAGAGGAGAATGGAGGAGAAGGGATTGCGGCGTGACCATCCCCCCTGGGGGGTGATTTCTCGCTTTCTGTCTCTATGTCTCTCTCTGTCTATCTGGCGAGCGCACGCGCCCTATAGTGAAAAAAAAAACCCTCTCAAAAAAAAAAAAATGTTTGTTGGGTTGACCCAAACAAGCTACCTACTATTCTTGCTTCCATAGAACTTTCAGTCTGACTGAGCAAGACAGTCAGACTACAAGACTGGCTCTGATACACTTTCTCCTACAGATACAGGGGGTCTTCAAAATGTCATGGAAAATGAGTATGCATGGGGTTCAAAATGTTTTATACCAAAGTAAACTTGTACTTAATTCCATTTTCCCATGAACTTTTTTTTTTAAGTCTCCTGGTACAAATAAAATGCCAGGAAGGCACGAAATCAACGTGATATATGCTTGAAAGGGTCCGAGAAGAGTTTAAGAAAAAGTGGCATTTAAAATGACACTTGCAGAGGGTGGCCTTGTAGCCTAATGGTTAAGGGATGTGACTACCACATGGCCAACTGAGGAAAGACACGTCAGATGCATGTGTATGTGAGCCCCGAATCCTCACAGCACGGAGAAATGGAGGAGAAGGGATTATGGCATGACCACACCCCACTGGGGATGCTTTCTCCCCTTACCCGGCAAATGCATGCATCCTCTGGCAATCACAAACAAATAGGGGGCCAGCAGGTGGCACGGCGGTTAAAGGCTGGATCCCCACATGGCTGACCATGGTTGGAGTCCCAGATCTGATCACTTGAAAGTCATACTGGGTACATGTGCATGTATGCCCCAAATCCCAAAAGGAGGATGGAGGAGAAGCAATTGTGCTGCGGCTACTCCCACTGGGGGGTGATTTCTCACTGTCTCTCGCTCTGTCTCGGGCAAGCACACATGCCCTATGGCAAAACCTAAAAATAAATAAATAAGTAAATACATAAATAAAGTTTGTACAACATACAGAATTTCAACAAACGACAATTAAGGGAAGTCATTTCCAAACTGAGGAAAAAAGAAGAGTCAAAGGTCAAGAGTAGGAACATGAATATCAGGTCTGGGAAAAGGCAGGTCTTCTTTAATGGCTTGAGAGTCCAGAGATCACTGAGGATGGTACTGGAAAAGCAGGTTATGGAAAGGCTTGAACGCTGTGGAGTTGCTGACTAGTAAGCTTTGCATCACAGGCGTGATCAGGAGGTCTGTTTTAGGAAGCTCAGGAAGGGACAAGGATGGGAGACAGATTGAAGGGAAAAGGTCTATTTGCTAGTCCAGCCTTTCTTTCTTTCTTTTTTTTAAAACAATTATTTATTTAACTTTTATTTTTCTTCAATTTGACCAGAGAGAGAGAGAGGGAAAGTGAAAAAGCAAGTCAGGTCCAAGATTTGAACCGCAGTTGGTCATGTGGGAGTCCAGCACCTTACCCACCACACTGCCTGCCGGCCCCAGTCCAGCCTTTCTTTCCACCCCCACGGCCATGTTCTAGCTTGGCCCTTCACCTGGACAGTTTCCCTGGCCACTGACAGATGAAAGAAAGGGTCAGAGGAGGTAGGAGAGGCTGTACAGGTCCAGCGGGCTGGAGGACAGCTCCAGAGGCTGGGCTGGCTCAGCTTCGGCCCCCGGCCTGTGCCACTCCTAGGCGGACAGCATATGGATGGAGATGGACGATGAGGAGGACCTGCCTTCTGCTGAGGAGCTGGAGGACTGGCTGGAGGACGTGCTGGAGGGCGAGATCAACACAGAGGATGACGACGAGGAGGACGAGGACGATGATGATGACGACGACGACGACGACTAGTTGCTGTGGCAGTGTCTCCCAGCCCAGCCCCACCTGCTCTTCTCATGCTCCCGCCTACCTTCCCTGTCCTTCCCGAGGTCCTCCAGTGACACCGGGTCATTCTCTGCCGTAGGGCAACGGGGGTCTTTCTGCTGGGTGCTGACTCTGACTCCCCTTCGTCGGATGAGGGATGGGGGTGGCTTTCCCAG